CCCCAAAACCCCAAAACCCCTTATGGAAAAATAAGTTACTCTGAAACGTAATTAAGCAATTAATTTATTATTGCTTATACTTATAAATCATTTCACGAATTATTGAACAGTAATATATAATCGTATTCTTGATGAGTCGTATTAAAAAAATTGTCTATTTGGATGACCTACCAAATAAAAAGGAATTCTAACATTAAGCCGATAAAATTATATCCTAATTCATGGGAGGAGAAATCATTCATGAGCCTTTAGCATAATTATCAAGATTTGGAGGAGATGAGTACACAATTATTGTTTTAAACAGTCATAAATAAATGGCTTTTGGGGTGTTCGATGTCTCGTATTTAAATTTATTTAACAAGTAATGATTCTTGCTTTAATATTTGATATAGTATTGGAGGGCATCTACTTGGAGACTAGGTGATTGATTAAGTATAAAGCATTCTTCAAAATTTGTCTTCTGAAATCAATCTAAATGCTTAAATTGAGGACATAGCTCTTGATTTTGAAACTAAATTAGAATAAAGTTGTGCACGCTAAGATAAATTGATTGCTAACGCAGAAATTTAAGTTAATGGTGGATTCAGCTTTATTCATGAGATACTTCCATAGCTAAGTAAAAATTCTTAAAATTTGGCAAAAGATGATAAAATTGCGGAAAATGCAAAAGTTATGTTTTTGGAGTCTGATAAATTTTGTCCATTAACTTCTAGTCAAGTTTATAGGAAAATGTTTGCCTTAGCCGATGATCGAATGCAATACCATAAAATGTCGACAAGAGTCTACCTTCTTGTGAAGCTTATTCATCCGCTCGTTGATTTTTTTTAGACAAAATAAGATATCAAAGACCTTCAAAAATAACTAACTGATACAATCTTAAAAGGTAACATACTTGAAGTCCAAAAAATAAATGATTAAATTCAAAAATTGGAAATTACTCGCGATAAGTACGCAGCTGCTAAATTCGATTAGAGGAAAGAGTACAGAATGTTTTATAAATTTTCAGCTAAGTCAATGGGGGAAATTAAGAAGAAAGATCTTTTCTAGCTTGCAAAAATTAGTTCTGATGAAGAATTAAGACTAGAAATAACTAGGCTTCTAGAATTGAAGAGAGTCTCATGTATTAAAACAGAGCTTTCGGAAATTTCATCTTAAGAAAATAAAGCTTTATCGTATGAAAATCGTGACATTCATTCACGTAACGCACAAATTTATGTGTTTGATGAAGAATTAGTCACTGAAATTTTCGATAACAGCTTTACAAAAGCGAAAATTTGGGGCAAGCTAACTTTTGGATATTTTAGCTAGAAAGTTGAAGATTTTGGGGCAGCTATAAATAGATTTAATATTTTTGAATTTAAGGTTGACGCCCATTTATTTTCCCTCCTTTATTTCAACTTAGACCACTCAAAATACCTTAACTTCTCACTAATCAAAACATTTTGGAAATTTTTTTGCAATGACTTTATTTACTGCTTTTTATTAGCATTTATAGCTGAGTTTATCTCACTTGTCAGCTTCTTATCAATTGGCGCTATTTTAAGAGATATGAAATACTCTGAAATAAGCGGTCTTTGGGAGATCCTTTAAATAGTTATGGTTATTATAATGCTATTTTGTTTGAGTGTTATTAAGAACCAATACTAACTATAAGGCCAGCTAATACCTTTGAAATTTAGAAAATGCTTAGTCGATCTGCTCTATGAGAAGATGAAAAGAATTAAATCAGAAGAAGCCGCCAAAAGTAATATTTAGACTTAGATTATAAGTATTATATCTCATGACATGGTTTTTCTGGAAAGAAGTATGGGCTTTATGATTTACATTTTGATCGGGCCAATAATCAACATACTTGCATTGATTTATGTCTATCAATAGTATGGTAGCGCTGCTTGTATTATTTTTATAGGAGGATTTTCAATTTAAATATCTTCCCAAATAATAGTTAGCAAGATAAGTTTCTGCCTGAGATTCAAAGAGTCACTTTTCAACGATATAAGAATGAGAAGTATTAACGAAGTTTTGAAAAATTTAATTCCTATTTAAACTAACAATTTGCAAAAGTATTTTGAGGAAAAAATACTTAAACATAGACAAGACTAGTCCAAATATACCTTTGCTATTAATCTCTTTTTAAGCATTGGTAACGCATTCTTTTAAAATACTGGAGTTTTTGTGTTCTTATTAACCATCTTGACTCTTAAAAGTCAAGATATCCTTGTCAGACAAATGGATCTCTTTTCTCTTTTCGCAACTTTTGGATACCTGGCGATTTCAATAAATTCCATTACCTTTGGTGGGTTTATGTGCTATGGCTAGTTCAAAGCAGTAGTTGCTAAGATTCAAATGCTTTTAAATATTTAAGAGAGGATTGATTACAAGTATATGGGGGAAACCTCACTGTAAAATACGATGGAGATTACTAATGAACATAATGAAGATTAAAAATTTTTGTATTAAATATCAAAATAACATGACTCAAAAATTGAAAAGAAGTCATTCAAAAAATAAGGAAGCAATTTGATAAATTAGTTGTAAATTGGGTAAAAATCAAAAATACTGATCATGGGTTAGACTGCAACTGGGAAAAGTCAAATAATAAGACAACTTATCGGTGACATATAAATTGATAATAAGCCAGAATATTTCTTGGCACATCCAACAGTTGTTTCTTATGCTCCATAAATTGGATATACAATAGTGGGCTCCATCGAGTAAAATATTTTATTCGGTCAACCATAAGATCAGTAAAGGCTTCTAGAAGTTCTAGGTATTTGCTTAATGAGCGATGAAATCTTTTAGATGCCTAAAGGACTTGATACATAGATATAAGAAAATGCTAAAAATATTAGTGGAGGTTAAATGCAAAGAATAAGTCTTGCCAGAGCGCTCTATAGGGATTCAGATGTCTATATACTTGATGATCCTCTTTCTCAAGTGGACTAGTCAGTTGCTGATTAGATAATGAATTAGATATTCTCTAATCAAAGACTATAGGGCAAGTGCATCATAATGGCATCTTAAACCAATAGATACTAAGAAAATTTCAATTAAATTATCAATCTCTCAGAAAAAGAGGAACAATAAGTAATAAACAATAAATCATTAGATCATTCTGTATCAATCAGTAGTTTTGACTCATTAAATTAGTAAACTCCAAGCACTGCTAAATTTAATCCAATTCAGAGAAAACTAAGATAGAGTGATAAAAATAGCAAGATTCATTTTAAAACTTTTACCTCTATGATAACATACTCCTGTGGTCAATTCGGCTTGTTCATATTTGTGCTATTTTCATTGTTACCAAATGTGACATTTTTAATGCTTACCTATGAGCTTTCTAAAATAATTAATTCTGATTCCATTCTAAACAAGGATGATTTCGAGAATTTCACAGTATTGGCTGTAGCTCTCTTAATATTAACAATAACCAGAAATTTCATGAGCAACTTACTCCTAAAACTAAATAGCTAGAAAGTTCACAAAGACATTCTAAAATTTATAATCTATGGCAATTCTAACTATCTCTAAAAATCTCAAAATCAAGTGATTCAGACCAATTTATCTAAGGATCTAGCGATATTTGATATGCAAATACCTTATTTATTAACCAATGTTTCTCATGGAATAATCAAAACTGCTATTGTTTTTATCGCTATATTGTATACATTCCCATCGACATTCGTAATGCTTATTCTAAGTCTGATATTATATCTGTCTTTTATAATGATAATCAAGGTGAGTGAAATTCTGAATATTTACTAAGAAAATGATAATTAAGCAAGAGGCCATTTTAATAATCAAGTTAATAGTGTTTCAAAAGGCCTATCATTAATTAGAGTTATGAATGCTTTTGAAATGCTAAAATAAAAATTGGTTCAGGAGTCAGATCTTTCTGCTCATATTGGCTTCTCGATGGCTATAGCTATGAGATGGATATCCCTTAGAATTGACATTTGCTCTAATGTTCTAATTTCACTTTGCCTTATTTTGCCTTTGATATTTAAGGATCGTATTTAAGATAGCACTATATTGATGGTAATCTAGCTGACTATTGATCTTGCATTCGTAATGAGTAATACCATCAAACTCACTATAGAATTTGTAAATTTATCTTCCTCTTGGTAAAGATTATTGATTTTGGCCTCAGACAAAAACTACAGCAAAGAAACTTAAAAGATTTAAATGAAGCAAGAAATCAAGTTTAGGAACATTTCTGTGGCTTTGCCCGGTCAAAGGAAACATATTTTGAGAGATATATCTTTTAAAATATTGAAGGGACAAAGAGTTGGTATAATTGGAAGAACAGGATCTGGTAAAAGCACCTTAGCTCTTACAATGATTGGGAAGATTGGATATAATAAAGGTCAAATTGACCTTGATAATCAAGTACTTAAAAGTTCTACAATTGACTCAGCTTATCTTGGTTAGCATCCATTCATTTTTAGAGGCACTATTAAATAGAATCTTGATCCAATGAATCAAAAATCAGAAGATGAAATAGTATAAGCTTTGAAGAATACATTTATTTGGGACAAAGTCTAATCACTGCCAAAATAACTAGATGAAGTAATTGACTTTAATGATGAAAGACTTTCCCCAGGTTAATAGCAGTAATTAAGTCTTGCAAGAATAGTGCTTAACAGTAGAAGTGAGTTAATTATCTTGGATGAGATCTACTCAAACATAGATGCTTAGTGCTCTCAACAAATATAAAAGGCCATTGAATAAACATTTGCAAATAAAACAGTGATTCAAATCTCTCACAAGATTGAAACTGTGATTGACAGCGATCAAATTATCGTCATGAGCAGTGGATCAATTATTGAAAATGATCACCCCTTCAAATTGCTGGCAAACGATGAAGCTGATTAGACCATTACTAACTGCAACAGTGTCTTTTCAAAGTTAGTTAGCAATACTGGAGATACCAGTAAAGCCTAAAATCTTTTTGATAGAACAAAAGATGCTTACCTAAGAGAGAAAAAATGAACATAACAGAAATAGGTTGATTTACTGAATTATTCCTAATTTCATAAATACTTTTACACTTATTTCAATTGATGTGTAAGTGACGGGGTTTTGGGGTTTTGGGGTTTTGGGG